ACTTAATGCCAAGAACACTTAGACTGCTTTCAATATTTAGTGAGTGTGTCAGCCAGAATTCCACAGGAAACCAAAGTTATTCCAGATGGTTCAGGTGAAGAGACTTGAATGAAGGCACTGTTGGTAGAGGTCTGGTTTGGGGGACTGCCTGAGGGATGTTGTTGCCTCGCAGCTCTAGCACCAGCAGGAGCCATTAGCTCCTCTAGGGCTGATGGGCAAGGGAGGAAACACTGTCCTAGAGCTCAGTGAAGAGTAGAGCTGTGCAGGAGAAGCTGCCCCACAGAAGCTGTAGCTCCTCACGTGGAGGAGTCACAGCTATTGACAGATAACATCACCAGAGCAGGAAGGGAATAGGATGAAAAACCCAGCTATTCTCTCCTCCCACCTTCTGACTTCCAGGCAGAGCCTCCCATGGGCCAAACACGAGTGGATGGCAGCCAGGAAGGGATCCTGGATGATGCAGTCCACAGCGTTTGCCTCCCGTCACAGAGGAGGGCAGCAAAGGGTAGGAAATGACCTGGGAGGAGTGGGGACAGCCAGCACGAGCCAGCCAAGACAATGGATAGGAACCACCTGAGACTTCACAGGAGAATGACAAAAAATTCACACAAGAAGGCCGCTGAGCCCAAATCATCACTGCGCCCCTGCAGCGTGTAACGGGTCGTGCTCGCCTTCTTTAGCTAAATCAGCAAGTATAATGAACATTAAATACAGTTCATCACATACTTTGTAGCTGATCAAGTTACACCAAAATTATACGGTAAAACTGGGACACTTTGCAAAGCAACCATACACGGGAAATATCTCCATTTGCCTGTCAGTTTCTTATCAGCAGAAAGAGAATACCATCTACCTTATGCACTTGTTATGAGGATTAAAGGAGATGATGTATAGGAAGCGTCTAGCATAAGGCCTGGAGCCAGTACGCACTCAAATGCAATTGTTGCTATTATCACTGTGTGTCATTTTATTCACGTTACTCTGCGTAACATCGTTACAAATGGAGCCTGCGTCTGCATGCCGGCACGTTGGCCCACTAGTTATAAACTATTTTAACCTGATCTGGTATATTCGGCCTACGCGTCTGCATAGGAATCCACCAAAAACAGAATAACACTGCCACTTGAACAATAGTTTACAGATATAAAGCACTTCCACCACCACTATTGAATTAGTTCTTAGAGTAACCCAGGAATTGTCTCTGTTTTAAGACAGGGAAGCTGAGAGCACTGGAAGACACAGACTTTCTGACTCTAAAACATGACACAACAGCCTGGCCTCTTACACCCTCTTTAAGGCTCTCTAATTACCAGTGAGTATTAAATTCCATGTAAGGGTATATTTTAGAATTGACTAAAAAAGTTAATGAGGACTTTAGGTTTAATCAAGTACTCTTTACAAACTTACATTACAAGTAATATTATGGTTAACTTTATCCTTCCTGATTATAAAAAAAACTGCTTGAGCTCTTAGCCAGCAACGACATTTCTTTGCTTTATAAAGAGAGTGACAGCTTAAGGAAAAACAGGTCCCTGCCCTTGAGTTGTTCCGATCTGATGCAACCCACAGGATTGATTGCCTCCTGGGCACTGAGGATGAGCACTCCTAGAATCCCCGTCCCCTCTGTAGTGACACATAACCCTGCAAGTGTGCCTGATTGGAGTCCTCCTACCGCATCCCTTGTTGGGTAAAGTGCCCTTTCATGGTGCCAGCCCCTTAAAATGAAAGGACCCTTCTCTGCTCTCCCCTGTCACTCCCTCATTCAAAGGAAAGTCCTGAAATCTGAGGCATAGAAAAGTGAGATAAGAAAAGAGAACATTTTTTCCAAGCTTTTTAAAGCATCAAATCACGATGTATATCACCGTTGCCAATTCCCATGTAATGAACCTATAAAATTGTACTTAAAGGCCAAGGGTTGGATCAGGGACTTTGCCAATGATGGTGCTCGGTGACTTAGCAGGGTCCTGTTCTCACTGCTAGACAGAAAGTGAGGACTAAGTACAGGCTACACGAGATCGGATGTGGCAAAGCTGTACAGTCGGGCTGCTCTGGGAGGAAGTGGGGCACAGTGGTTTTGAGCAGAGCTTTGGAGTCAGACAGACCTGCTCAAGAGTCCTGGTGCCGCCGCTCACCTGCTGTATGGCCCGGATTTATCATCTCAAAGCGCCGAGCCTCAGTTTCCGTGTGTGCGATGGCACTCATTGTCGTGTGGCCCCCTGAGCACCATGTGGTGACCTAATGCTCACTCAAGTGCTGAGCGCAGTGCCCGGCACGTTCAAAGCACTCAGCAAACAGTAACCTTGAGGGTGCTTGCAATTCTCCTGCCACTCAACCTAATTTCATCACATTTGCTACAGCTGCCCCATTTAAATAGCCAGTATAAAGTAAAAAAAAAAAAAAAGAAGAAGCGATGAATAACTCAACCACTCAAATCAACTGTTTAATGTAAACAAGAGCATATTTAATGTTGCTTGGAATAGTTAAGAATCAACATAGTATAGTCTACAAAAAGTTCCTGCAAGTTTTAAAGTGTAAGAAACATGTGCCTGAGTCAAGGCAGGCAAAAAATAAAGACGTATGCAGAACATACATTACATGGATTCCAACAGAAATGACCTACTTTCACCCCTTGCCCCTGCAAGGCTGACGGGGGTCCGCTCCCTCCCCAGGCCCACTCGGGGGCTCAGCAGCCCGATTCCTTTTCTCTCCCCAATTCAACACGTTTGTTGAGTTACAGCTTCTTTCCTGTACCGGGCCCTGCGAAGTCCATAGGAAGTGGGTCTGCCTTCAGGAACTCATGGTCCGGCAGAGGTCACAGACACCATTGACCTCATTTTCTGCCCATGATGGGGGGGAGGGTTTACACACAGGTTCTTATTCTCAGGCCCGAGGCTCCCAGAGGGAACCTTGAAACTTGGCTCCTGCCAACAGGCAGAAGGCTCATTGGTGTGTCCACCCAGGGGACTGTTCCCCCCTGGCCTTCCCTGCCTGCCCTGGAAGGAAATCACCTCCTTTTCCCTCACTTTGAATCAGGCCCCTGGGCTTTCCCGTTTCCAGAGACACACTTGCCCCTCTTCTCCCTTCAACAAGGAAGAAAGGAAAGCTTGGGGACAGGCAGTTTGACAGTTGATCTTAGTCAAAAGGCCGAGAAGTGGTGGGACAGACAATTTTAATAAATAGAAATTCATTCCTGCTAACAAGCTCAATACTCCCCACCTGAAGACAGGCCCTGAAGAAAAACCTGCGTGCGTTTTTTTTAAGACTGTTCACATGTTGACAGGGAGGACAAGGATCGCAGGGATGTTAAAGAACATGAGCTCCCTTCGCCTCCCCTGCCTGCCCAGCTTTTAAGCCTTCTAACGCTCCGGAGGCATGATACGGAGAGCTGGATACAGGGGCTCTCTAGTCAAGGGACACAGGTGACAGAGGCAAGGACAAGCCACAGGCCTGGAGGACTAGGGATGGCTGGGTGAAGGCAGAGCTGTCAGCCCCAGGGAACTGAGGGAACCTCGGCCCCCAGAGAGTAAGACCCCAGTCCCAGGCCTCTTACGGGCTGTGCATGAGAGAAAAGTGTGGCGAGGAACACAGATTGGATTTTGACATTGATTATAGCTATGAAGACTAGACCACATAAGGAGACTGAGAAATTGGTTTGGTTATGTCAACCTAAGTCTAATAAGTCATTTATGCCAACTGCCCTACCATTTGTGTGTGATGGCCACGTTCTACAGTAACAATGATGTACTTTAAGAAATGTGGTTCAGCCTCATTCTCAGTTTTGTTTGATTAGGTGAGTAAATGACATGCCTGGGTGACAGCCTTTGCAATTTCTTCCTCCAGCTACACAGAGTTCTGTTCTCAAGTTTGACAAACGATTGATGCCATTGTTTTTAAGCTATTAGAGAGAATGGGATTTGAGAAGTTCCTATTCATTCAGTATTCTTCTTGATAACACTTTATTATACAAAAAATTGTTATACAGTTTTCCTATTTCCTGTGCTTGGAATCTGTGATTTTTTTTTCCCCTCAGGTGTTTCATATTCATGAAATGGTAAAAGCTGTAAATCTTACCTTACTTCCTTACACACACACACACACACACACGTATGTACAGAGACACCTTACTAGTTATTCTGATTAGATCCTAAACTCAATAAGTTATGTTGCCATGTCTGCTTAGTTAAGAGCTCAAATAACTAATCCTCCTGATTATTGTCATACAGACATTGAGCCAGCTCTCATTCACAAGGCCTATGGTCAGATAGGAGCCAGTGTCAGAAAGCCCAGGCAAAGCGCAGTGGTTCCCGAAAGGAAAGTGAGATTTTGAAATTCTGTTCCCAGTTCAGCTGCTATTTCTTGGAACAGTCTGATTCTCTGCCCAAAAGGTTTTCCTTCAATCGGTTTTAGTAAATGAAAGAAGGATACTTAGTGCATAATTGGAGTTCTTTGGATGAAAGTTTGTATTGTAAATAAGAAATGCTTTGTTTATAATTACAGAAAAACAGACATAACTGTTTTAAATCATTAGGCAGTATTAAAGATCATGTTATCGAATATATTTTATATACAAACTGAATAACAGCTGGGTAAAAAAGTAATAGCGAGGATCAGTTGATGGGTCCTTTTAAAATCTGATTACCTAGTAAAATCTAGCAGGCAAGTGACTTCAACAAAATTACTAGTTCAGATGAAAATAACATTGCAAACATACAGCAGAGTCCTATAAGACTGTTTCACACACACAGCAATGTGTGTTTGTTGAATGTATAGGAGAAGACTTTCCAAGTATGAAAATTAATTATATACAAAGGCTCTGTATTTTGTTAGTATTTAAATAAAATGTGTCTTTAAATATGGAAGTCTTTGGAAAAAATCACTTCATTGTCCAAAATTATAGAGACCACTTTAGTTTTTTAAATCGGAGATGGAATATTCATACAGCTTCCCAAGGGATCCTGTAGTTAGACTGGGCAAGGAGTTCATTTGCAGAGTGTGCTTAATAAAAAAAATCCAGGGGCCGAGTGCCACCAACAAACTATATCCAAAAGGGAACGCTGCTCAGGATGTACCAGAAAGAGCATCAGCCCTTGCTGGCTTGCCTGCTGCTCTCCCTGTCCCCGTTAGTCTTTGAGGTGAGTAAATGAGTGTTGGTTGATGTCTTTTGGACGTTAGAGGATCTTGCACTCATTAATGGAGAAGAGCTTCCTTCTGTTGCGTCTCCTGGCTTGGTTGACGGCAGTTCGGACAGCACACTCGAATACCTGCTGCACCCCCCGATTGCTGAGGGCTGAGCACTCCAAGTAGCCCTTTGCTCTCACCTCCTGGGCCAGTTTCTTCCCTTCTATGGCACTGATGCAGGAGGCCCTGTGAGACCCCATCTCCCTCTGGTCCGTCTGGGTGGCCACCACCAGAACGGGGGTACAGGGCAGGTAGCTTCTGATTTCACCAATCCACTTGTTCTTCAGGTTCAGGAAAGAGTTGTGGTTGGCCACAGAGTAGCACATCAGTACCACGTCGGCCTGCTGGTAGGACAGGGGACGGATGCTCCTGAAGGCGTCATTGCCGGCGGTGTCCCAGAGACCCAGGCTGATCTGGATGCCGTCCATGAAGACGTCCACGCCCGTGTTCTCATACACTGTGGGCTTGTAGGCCTCTGGGAAGGTCTCCGAGGTGAAGCGCACCAACAGGGAGGTTTTCCCCACAGCAGTGTCTCCTACCAACACACACTTGATGGAACTCAGCATCCTCCCAGCCTGGAAGCCTAGTCACAAGTTCAGAATCCCTGAATGGCTGAAGCAAACGCCATTCAACGCAGGGAACGAAAACCAGAGGGGTTTGTGCTCTCAGGATCTCCGGCAGCAATTTATAGGACGTCACCTCTCTCCATCCATCCAAGAGAGCGACCTCGATCTACTTTGAAACGCTCCAAGGCCTGGTCTTCAACTGGAACAGAAAGAGAAGAGGGAAAATTGAGGCTTCCTTTTTCCTTTCTGGATGCCAGGGCACTTCCTCCCTGGTGAGCTGGCTGAACAGGGGGCCCACCTCAGCGCAGCTGTCCTGCCCCTCTCGTCTAACCCGCTGTTCCCCAGCACAGAAAGCTTGGATCTGTTATCCCCCAGCTCGTGCACCCACAACTCCACCCAGCCAAGAAGCAGAAGCTGATTTTATCTCAAAAACCAGCCTAGTGATAAAAACACAAGCAACTGCTCTGATCACAACATGAAAAAGACCTCAATAGCAACCTGGTGTGTGAATGAGACGTTTTCAAACAGCTCTCTCTCTCTGGCTTCCGCTCTGAGAAGCAGGGAAGGCAGCTGACAGCGCTCTCTGTCTTCAGTTTCTAGTGGATCCCAGCCACTTTGGGAACTGCAAGGGAGAGAAATGTAATGAGCCACCAATATTATAAAGCACTTCCGTTCATTTATCGATTAATCAGCCAGTCCTTGGTTTATGTGGGAATTTGAGGTCATAGAAAAAAATTACGAGAACTCTAAAAATTTGCTGTTTTTTCCCTTGAGGTTTTTTCCCAAAAGTGGCTAGCGATATAACTGAAAGGGTGCTCGCTGTCCTTGGCATTTCTGCATCAGAGATCAGGCTCCATTGCTTATACAACACAGCTTTGGGCATGCGGTACTTGATCTCCAAGCCTTATTTTGCATATCTGCAAGATTATGATAAACTTAGGAACCACTTCTCAGAGATGTTGTGAGCATTAAATTATTTCTTTCCTTCAACATTTTTGGATCGCTACCTATATATCAGGAACTCTGCCAGGCCCCTGGGTAATCAAAATCACTTGCTTAAAAGTAACCATCTACAGTGTCTGTCACTTAAACAGGACTGCATAAATATGTCAGAATCCAAATTTCATGAAAGGGTCAAATAAATTCTCGTTCACTGCCGCTGAGAGAGTTCCAGACAAATGAGATCAGCTATGGAGACGGTGTCCTATTTGCCAAGGGACATCATCATAAGGCCAACCCAGCCCCGGACAAGGGAAAGGTCTTGCAGACCAAAATCCAGAGTAAAAGTTATTCATACAGTCTGGGTTTATAATCTTCCTGACATGTCCCACAGAAAGCAATGTAAAGCAGACCTAGCAGTCTGCTTCAGTTTTTAAAAATCACTCCTCTAAATTCAGACATTCACCACAAGACATTTTTATCCTTGTCCACCCATAGTTTCTGTTTGCTTAATTAGATACAATAGCCTTTTCAAATGAGCTAATCAAATAAATAATTGATATGATTTTCACATTTTCATTTTTCTAAACCACATGGCAGCTGGGTGTGTTTAGCCAAGTTACTTAACCTCCCTGAGTCTTGGTTTTTTTTAAAAAATATGAAAACAGGAAAAGCACCTTTTTCATCTAATTATTGTAAGGATTCAGCATGTGGAGAGTCTGGCTCGGCCCAGAGCCCGGCGCATGGGACCTGCAGAGAGCCATGTGTTATCTATTTCCACTGCTATTTATTTAAAATACCAAATATTGAATGCCCATAGCATAGGGGTCAGGGTGTCAAATGTTCAGCTGGATTCTGTCTGAAGACTCATATTGGGTCACTCTGATGCATGAGGGTCCTGGACATCTCTTTGTCACCAAACCGTTCAGAAAGGTCTTCCTGGGGCCTCCAATGGGTCTCAGACTTCAGGTCCTTAGACTTATAGATGGTTTAAACCTATGTATGCATTTGTAACCCCCTTGTTACTTAGCTCAAAGCTAATACCTCTTAAGACATGTTTAAGCTTCATTTTGACCCCAAAGTAGCAAGACCAGAACTCAGAAAACTGTACATGCGTCAGGCTTTTGGTTAGTAAATAAAATCTTTCCAACAGATTGACTAAAAGCCAAATTTCCTGACTAAAATCAAAAGAAGTCGATGAGGCAAAATTGTTCAGAACACAGTCTCTAAAGTCGGGTGGTTCTGCTATGGAATCTGGGCTGCCCAAACAACTACCTGTGTGACAGTCTGAGAAGGCTTTCTTAACGCCCCTAAGCCTCAGTTTCCTCCTTTGTAAAATCAACAAAGTAACGCCTATATCACCAGGTTGTTGAGAGTAAGTGTGCTTCGATGTATAAAATCCTTAGCACAGTGCATAATATAAACACACTATTTGTATGTAGTCAACACGTTGCAAACACATAGTACGTAGTCATTATTAGTACTACTGTTTGATTAAAATTACTAAATATAAACAATTATTAATGATAAGTGGAGAATTTGAAGTAGCACTAAAGATTTTTCCAGCAAAGGATACTCTGTGTATCTTATCCCCAGTTATGACTACAAAAAAGTCGGGGAGGGGGATTTATTCTTGCAGCCTAAAAATATATGTGTGATGTGAACAAAGAATTCTGTCTGAGCTTGCCATCCAGAATGTTCCAAAAGTCCGAAAGTCAGAGAAAAAGGCCCTGTTCAACCAAGCGAACTCCACTCCCCAGTCTGTTCTGGCATTCAGAGGCCCCTCAAGTCAGTTCTCTGGGCCTTGGTTTCCCAAACAGTAACGTGGTTAAACAAGATTAGCTTTCTCTGCAGTTCTATTAAAGCTGTAGCCAGCCCTGGGCAGTGTGGCTCAGTTGGTTGGGAGCTGCCCTGTAAAGCAAAAGATCACTGGTTTGATTGCCAGTCAGGGCACATGCCTGGGTTGAGGGTTCGATTCCCAACCAGGGCGTTCGCAAGAGGCAGCCAATCAACATTTCTCTCACACATCGATGTTTCTCTTGCTCTCTTTCTCCCTCCCTTCCCCTCTCCCTAAAAATAAATAAATAAATACAATCTTTAAAGAAATCTGGAGCCAAAGGAGAAAGCTTTTTTGCCTGTCACAGTGATTACAAGAATATAAACCTCTGCACTGTTCCATATCGGTAAAGACAGATGATAAAATTTGATGACACATGTAGCCTTCGGCAGATGGCTAAATATGGAGCTAGGAGAGGAGGGCAGGGGAGGAGCTTTTGTCCAGGTTAGAGCAATACCCTATATAGACATGACAGATCATCTTCAGAAGCTGTGTCATGTGTGCCCAAGATGGAGCCGCTGTGGGTCACATCATCAGTGTGGAAGGCTGATGAGCTTGATTTCAGTGGAATTTCTCCTAAAGGGAGAAACCCTCCCTAAAAGGGTTACAGGGCAAAAAATAGAAGTGGGTTTTCCATAGCATTTCACAAGTGGCTAATTGACAGGGGTTCCTCAGTTATACGGCTCTCAGGGCAGAGAGGGACTTCAGATAGTGCTAGGAGTGGCCACTGAGGGACTCTTTTAGGACTGGAAGCAGACTGGAATTAAGGAACCTTCCATCCCAGAACCCCTCATGTCTCAATAATGAGTTTCTCTTCCCCTTCTCCTCTGTTCACCGTTTTCACAGAAAGGATGCCTTCAGCAGGCCCCCATGGGCACACACAGAGAGAGGACGGGACAGAAGCTGTGTCTTGCAAAGGCAAAGGTGTCAGGTACTACACTGTCCACTACAGGGACGCGACACAGGCAGACCAAAGAGAGGGCGTACAGATGAGCCTCTTGGTCCATTTCACCTTCTGGCGAGCGGGGGGCTGCCTAGTAGGAGGTCCTGGTCCACTTCAGCCTCAGTTCTCATCCCAACTCACAGATACCCAATCTTCCCTCAATCACACTCTGTGCTTCTCTATTTGCCTGCAAAGACCTGCCCTTCACTCACCCCCTTGCTCTCACATCTTCTTGACAATCGTATTTGATCACCTGACCCACTGGTAGACCGGGCGCCCCCTCTGTGTTGCCACACATCACACTGAAACGGTTGGTCCTCTCTTGTTTATCCCTCATCTGCGGAACCGGAGTAAGATCTGCCCTACCTTCCTCACAGGGCACTTAGAAGATTCAGGTGGAAATAATAACAACATGGCAACAATTTGCGCTTGGACTTTTGTAAGAGTTTGTGCATTTGGAAATACTCTCTTATTTGTTTTGTAAGAAAGCCCTTTCAGAACAAGAGAGCACAATATAAAACATAGCTGAAAGTATGACTATTATTAATTAATAACTATTATTGCAGATTTTAGTTTGTCTGGACTTTATGAGGTAGCTTACTTCAAAATGCTGGTGGAATCCTCCTCTGTTTCCTTTTTTCAAAAATATGAACCCATGGTTTGTCCCCATGTACACAAATTAATTCAAAATGAACCAAAGATCTAGGAGAAGATATTCGCAAACAACAGCTCCAACAAGGGGTTAATACCCAAAATGTATTAAAAAGAAACTCATACAACTCAACATGAAGAAAAGTAATCCAATTAAAAAACGGGCTGAGGACCTAAAATGACACTTCTTCCCAAAGAGACATACAAATGGCCAACGGATATACGAAAAGATACTCAGCTTCACTAGCTATTAGGGAAATGCGAATCAAAACCACAATGAGATACCACCTCACACCTGCCAAAATGGCTGCGATCAGTAAGACAAGTAAGAGCAAGTGTTGGAGGGGTTGTGGAGGAAACGGGGCTCTCCTTCACCGCTGGTGGGAGTATAAACTGGAACAGCCACTATGGAAAACAGTATGGAGGTTCCTCAAAAAAATAAGAATAGAGTTATAATATGATCCAGTAATCCCTCTCCTAGGAATCTACCTAAAAAATTTGAAAACATTTATTCACAAAGATATACGCACCCCTATGTTCATTGCAGCATTATTCACAGTGGCCAAGACGTGGAAACAATTGAGGTATCCTTTTGATAGATGACTGGATAAAGGAGATGTGGTACAAATA